ACCTGCAAATCATGTAAATAAATGGATGTATTTCATCATATCTTGTGTTATCCATCTTTGATCTATTGATTAAGGTACATGATTTTTCAAAAAAAAAAAAAGTATTTAAAATGATAAAAATTTGCTTGGAAGGACTGACATATTTTATAGAAATAGTTTCCTTTCATTTTGAAGTAATATTAAAGTATTCGGAAGAAAAAACTGACAAATTATGCAAAATCATGCACCTTCTACTTGCTTGCACAATTTTCCCTCCGTTACTTTTCCCTCCATTACTATGACCTTTCTTAATAAAAAATCTCATTACTCAAAAAGTAAGAGGTTTTTCAACCTAATCTTGTACCATATAGTAGAAAACTATATGAAGCAAATATTCAAACCAGTTTGTTAAGGATATGTAAGTGAGAACCGCTAGTTATCACTGTTTGTATTTATTGCCCAAAAAGTGCTGCATATTTCATTCCCTCCGTTACCAACATTAGTTTTTTAAATTTTTTGTCAACAACTTGAAAGAATATCGCAGGTTTAACTATACCCTGTTGGAGTTCTAACTCTTTCCTACATTCTGATACTTTACTTATTTCAATAGTCCCTCTAGTTTCTGAATAAGAGCTATTTGAATGTAAAAATCTGCCCCTGTTTCCCTCCATTACCACTTGACCGGACCCACTGTTAAACCTTTTCTTATCAAAGTAAATGTTTAATAATAGTTTTGCTCAAACACTGAATCCAGAACAAGCATAATATAAAATAATAACAAAATTTTAAATAAATAATGTCTCTATACCCTATCTGTAGCTTTTGAACTCTTTTAAATGTTTTTTTGTTGTTGTTGTTGTTTGTTTGTTTTTTTTTTTTTTCCACAAACCAGCAACCAGTCAAAAATAACACCTTGCTTCAATAAATAATCTTAATAAAAATGTACTTTCAACTATGAACAGTCAAAAATCATAAAGAAACATTCATCCAAGCTCAGACTACACTGTGATTCACTCTGATGCACATGGGTCCAAAGCAAATACTTGGCATCTATTCTTAGATACAAGTTCATCAAAGTAGTAGTAGTAGTAGTAGTAGTAGTAGTAGTAGTAGTAGTAGTAGTAGTAGTAGTAGTAGTAGTAGTCATCTGACACTAGAACAAGCATATATGTAGTATAGTTGAATTATTTGTGCTGTGTCAATATGCTCCTGTCCAGCAGAGGGGGACAGAATCCACAAGCTTCACTCAAAGGTAAAATGAAAAAGAGAAAAGACATTTGTAACAAAGCAAGGCATTTAACCTTATTTGTCTTCAAAGTCTGTATATATTGGTGTACGAATGACTGCTTTGAGTGGCCATTGGTGCACTGTATACATGTGACTGTATATCATTCATTTACCTCTCATATTCCACTTCACATGTATTTCTCAGGACGAGGAGCTGCGGCCGAACATGTGACCAAAGTGCCAAACTCCAGGCAGCCTTCGGTCATTACTTTCGACCTGACCATCGTCAACGACAACCTAGACGAGACCTACCGCACCGTCAAGGCTGCCCTGGAGACGGTGTCCAAAAACCCGCAGTGGGTCCCCGTCACCTGGGTCTTCTAAAGGCAGACAATAGGGAATGGCACAAGTAATGCGTAAAGGAGACAACAAATAATTTCACTACTGCTTTTACTAGAATTACAAAGACAAGAGGTGGAATTAATGGGCAAATATGGTGCAGAATAAAAAGCCACCATAGTTTACATAAATCTTGGAGTATTCAATAATGTGCCAACACCACTGCCTCTTTAAAGGGCCTATATTATGCAATTTTTTTTCTGTTATAATGCTTTATACACATCAAAAAATACACCCGGATTTGTGTTTTGTTTCATTTACACATGTTTAACACACCAACCCTGATTATTTTTGGCCGACTTCTTCTCGAAAAACACTCCACCTTGTGATGTCATGTGATAATATAAGAAGTGCTGCACTGTTTTATAACTTTGTACACCTTCACTAGAATCATTTGGGTTATTTCAGACCAAAAAGAATGAGAACTTTGCACATCAATTACTTGAGACGAGTGCGTTGGAGGAGAGGGAGCAGCCCAAGAACATAGAGAAAAATCCCACACACTGTTTAACTTGCAAAATGTGAGATTTATTAGGACAAACCGTTTCTACAAAAGGCCTTTCATTTTTTGTTTTTTTTGTTTTTTGTTTGATGAAGACCTAGTGCCAAAACGTTGCACAGTTTGTCCTAAGAAATCTCACATTAATTAATTTATTTATTTATAAGGGAAGGCCCTTGAGATGTAGTATCTCGTTTGCGAGGGGGTCCTAAATACATTAACAAAAATAGCGTTTACAGAAAACACAAATCAAAACAGAACAAAATACAAACACAACACAAAGATAACATTCACACAATACACAGACAACATTCACACTATACAATACAGGATTCTAAGATATACGTCTCTGATTTTGTCATCAACACATCTTTTTTATAAATAAGATGGTGTGTGGGATTTTTCTTTAGGTTATTTTAGACCTGGAATGATTAATCTCTACTGAACTAAAGGTAAAAGTTAGCTGTTAAATTGAAAACGCCTATGTGAGATCACAAGGTGGAGCAGAGCATTTTGAGCTTTGGAAATGTAGACAGACTAACAAACCAGGATTACTCAAACGTGTGTGAATTAAACAAAACAACTCCAGGTATGTTTTTGATGAGGTAACAGCATTTTAACATGGATTAAAGGTCACAACAATCCAGTTCATGTAATATAGAACCTTTAAAGCATCCCTACAATTTTCAACATTATTAAGCGATTTAAGAAAATTTGCTGACTTGATATGTCCTCATGACTTATTCCACATCTTTATGACTAGACAAGCTGGATTTTAGTAGCGGGTGTAAAAGGATGATCAAGGTGCTTTACTCTCACATGATGAATTGAATGTCAGTAAACCACACATTTTACATTACATGGTTCCAGGAGGGGGAATGGTGGTTTATACTGGACGGGTACATGTGCGTGAGCCATTAAGATTAATCTACATTTTGCCATATTATCTTTATAGTCTTTGTCAATGTTTACATGTAGTATTATGTTTACACCGTCAATCAACAATTTCATCAAACATATTTCTATATACTGCCAGCAATAACCTCTTATCTGTCCCGTTTTATAGGTCATACATAGAAATCCTGGTGTGTACATAGAAGTCACGTTTCAGACATATACAAAACTCACACTTTGCACATTTATTTGTTATAAGCATTGTATAGCTGAATATTTTGTTATAAGTTCTCCATTGTAAATTGTTGTAGATAGCATGTAGATTGACAAGTATATTCTAGACACTCATATATTAGGTATGAGTCTTTTTCCTAGTACATTAGCCAGAGCAGCCATCTTCTAAGCAACACTTACTGTAGAATTCATTATAAAGGCATTTCCACACATATAACTTGTGAATGGGCATGGCTGTCTACTAGTATTTGCATGTCAACCGTGCATAGATGTAAAGCACACCAGAGCAAAGTGGTGACTATAGTCCTACATTCAAATCGGGCAACGCAAAAGTCATTATACAGTATTTTCCTAGCCCGTGGATGGTGGATGGTGGATGGTGTGCTTTGCTCTAATTGTCATTTGTGCCAACACTGCAGAGGTGGAGATTCTTATTTTGTGGCAGCTAATAGTACTTGGATGCACAATATTTTATTTAGAATAAACATATCTGGCAGCTTCTTTCAGATACATTCCAATAACCTAACTGTGTCTTTTTTTACTATCCTCATAAATGCAATAAATGCATACATAACCTGTCCTTGTACTACACATACAGTATAAAATAATATGCACAAGATAACATTCACACTATTGACGAGTCTTGCTTTAAGTGTTGAGATTTTGTATTTCCAATTAAACATTGTATTTATATGTACTGGTATAGGCTGCCACTAGCTACAACTTTGTTTAAAAAGTCCACTCCAAGCAGGAATGTGGTCTTCATTGGAGCGGCTGACTTTGTTAATGCTTTTCTTGTGTAATAAATGAGCAATTTGCTTTTTAATTTGTACAATTGTTTAGTTTTTTTAAAATATATATATATGTTATATATAGATGTGATATGCATGGACTATTGGAGGAGCCACTGAAACTGGCTTCTCTTACACAATTTATTCAACTGCCTTGAATATAATGGCATTTTAAAGGACTTTGAACACTGGGAAAAACAATATCTAAGTAAGTTTAAATGACTTAGATTAAGAACATTTTACTTTATTTGAGTAGATTCAACTTGACAAGTAAAATTATCTACTGATGGAATAAGTGTGTTTTTCTTAATTCAAGCAACATTTGATTTTGTTTCTTATTTTAAGTACAAAAAGTCTTATTCTACTGGCAGATAATTTTACTTGTCAAGTGAAATTTATTCAAATCATGATAAAACTATCTGAATTCAAGTTATTTTAACTTGACTAGATTTTGTTTTTTGCAGTGAAAATGTTATGGCTCTTTTTAAGACAAGAGCAACTATGATTATACCTGGTTCATCTCTGGTTAAAAGGGTCTATTTGAAAAGGCTTGATAACTATCAACATCCAGTCTGAGGTCCACTCATGACTCCATAGGGTTATATGGAGAGCATGCATGTTTTCTATAGAGTTATCTTTGTGTTTTTAACAGACGATGAACATTTTGTGGTTTCCTTTATGCAGTGAAATGATCTGTTGATGTCACATAGCCCAAAGCTTTTCTGTAACAAGCAGCAAATGTGGCTAAACAGTTTTTAAATATGAATAAGAAGTACTTTTCTCTTGCCTAGTCTTGTGTCTGTGGTGTGGAGAATGTACTTCATGTCTCCCTGGTGACTTTCCCAGATATCATAATTCATTAAACATCATTATTGGAAATTTTAACCATTCTTGAACTGCACCATTCAGTCGCTCCTGTTGTAGAGCATTTGTGTGCTTCCTTCACAGTCTTTTAGGTTCTGCGAGGCTGAGGCAGTATGTGGTGGTGGGTCTTGGGTATTTTGAGCTGTGTTCTGCTGGCTGGAGTGGTCCTCTTCTTCCTGACCACCGGGCAACGGTACAAAGTCTTTAGTGAGAAATGTTTGAGGCCCCCGGGAGCTCTGGTCATCGACAGCAAGAAAAGGGATGAACGGCTCAAGAGAGGTGAGTACTGTTTATTCACGAATGATCTGAAGCGTTAAGAGGTTTCAGTAGGACAGTTTTTTTATATGAGAATAAATGGTAATGTAATATAAATGTTGCTGAGTAATCATGAAAATAAAATATGATCATTTGAATTTCAAAAAGGATGATTCATGAGAACAAATGCAGTAAGGAAAGTGTATTGCAGATACTTAGCATAACCTTCAAATGATCATGAGTACATATACAGTCCAAAAGGTATTCCCTTGTTTCTCTATTGACTGTTGAACATGTATTAATTAACTTCTTATTGTACATTTCTTCTAAATTATTGTAATAATTATTATAATCATTGAAATTAATATTATTATTATTATTGTTGTTATTGTATCATCACTGTACACAATTAAACCTGTGGTAATTGTTTTTGACAGATTTATTGCCCCTTTATTATTTTCAGATGAACAGATATTTTTAGATAAGTAGTGGCAACAGGAAACCAGAGTATGGATTAAATGATGCAAATGCCACACACTGGCGTCGAGAAACCTGTAACCTGAGCAGGTTGTTTTACATCTTAGGCTTTAAAATTTGACTTACACAAACTTTATTGATCCACAAAGGAAATTACTTGGACACAGTGGCTCACATCTCACATTATATTAAAATAACGAGTAAATAAAGAGTAAATTAAAAGTATATTAAGAGGATATTAAAATAAAGAGTAAAACATTTAAATAGTAAAAAATACATTCTAAATAAGCAGCAGAAGAAAAAAAAAACAGCAAGAGACTGGTGTCATACAAGGCATAATTATATAAATGTATATGACCAAGTAAAAATAAAATAAAAAATAAGTAATAAAAATATCTATATATACAAGAGGTAGTTAGGAAAACAGTGCAAAGATGATATAATGATTGACTGGACATAGGGTTATTTGCTATATAAGTGTGCTGTAGGTGTGCTGTAGGAGACTGAAGGATCTGTTGACAAAAATAGAAATAAGAACTTCATAAAGAATTGTGTTTCATTTTCACCTAGGTTTTCGGGTGGAGCGTGTGCCCCCGTCCTTGGATGCCATAGTGATTGGCAGTGGAGTCGGGGGGCTGACAGCAGCTGCTCTGTTGGCCAAAGCTGGTAAGAAGGTTGTGGTTCTAGAGCAGCATGACCAGGCTGGGGGCTGCACACACACCTTTGAGAACAAGGGGTTTGAGTTTGATGTAGGTAAGAGCAAACACAAAGAATTAAAAACTATTAGAAATGTTCTTGTTTGTTAGAAGTTAGTTTTGCCTGTCACCTCAGGAATCCATTACCTGGGCCAGCTCCACCAGAACAGCTTGCTGAAGGTGGTTCTAGACCAGATCACAGATGGACAGCTGCAGTTCACACGGTTAGAAGAGCACTTTGACACAGTGATCCTGGGTCAGGCTGAACAGCGCAGGTATGACCACCATACATAGAGAAAAGGCTTTGTTTTATAATCACACAGATGTAAGACCTAGTGCCATCTCAACTTGGAAAATTGACTAAGAGGGTAACTATGGCCAAAATAAGATGAATGCATGTGTTGTTGTCAAACTGAGATAATTTCTCAGCCAGTTTCACTTTGTAGAAACCATCTGACCTTGCAGTGTTAGAATTAGTTCGCTTGACGGTAGGCGGGTACTTTTTATAATTTAAACAATCACTGCTATTTGGTCGTGACGTATGTAATGCGCCGCTAATGGGATTAACTGGTATATAAGTTTTTCCCAAATCCTGTAGGAAGAAGGGCAATAACGTCTTTCCCCTTGATGAAATTCACCAAACATTCTTTTTTGGCTTTAAATCCTCGATCTCGGGAATCTTTGACAACGCTGAATATATGGCTCTTCGCTGATTAGCTGGTGCCTGAACTTGCACTTTCGGGGTTTTTGTGAACCTATTGTATTGTGAATCTATTGTATTTTGATTCCTGACCTAGTTGCTGGAGAGAAATGAAATTGAGCAGCGGCACTAGGTGGCACCAGCCCTGCTAGGTAAAAGTAGTCATTAAAGTTAAATCTATTTTGTGGAAAAAAGTGCTATAGATAAAAACCAAGCATTGTCAACTGATCTCTGAGGTTTGCTTGAATTAGAAATGACATACTAATAATACCATGAAAGTATGGTGTCATAATTTGAACTGCTATTGTAGGGAATACCATATTCATGCTGGAAAAACCGAAATGGCAGCTAGCCTGAAGAAACAGTTTCCTGGAGAGGAGAAGGCTATTGAGGAGTTCATGAGACTGATGAAGGTACTGTTGTAGATCATGGTAACTGTTGGGAATGATGATGAGATGAAATGAGATAATGTAATTTGAATGGATAAGTGTTGTAGAATAAATTTAATCTCTCAGCTACTTCAAATTATACTACAAAAGTATGGGACACCACAAGGATCAGTTCTAGGGCCACAACACTTCTTTTTCATTTTAGTATTTGAACTATATGAGAACAAGTTCTACATTTGCCTTCTGTTTCCCCTTTTTTTCTTGCAGTTAGCCTCAAAACGAACACCTTTAATCGCCATACTCAAAATCATTCCATACTGGTTGGTGAGGTTCCTTGTTCGGACTGGCCTACTAGACCACATTTCATCTGTGTTCCGTCTAGCTACAACCAGCCACTCAGTACTGATGTCGCAACTCACACAAAACAAGGACCTACAGGCCCTCTCAGCGTATCTTTTCTACGGTGCCGTACAAAAAGCTAACATTATTTAGGCAAATAGCTGGATGTGTGTCTGAAACTTGTACTTTCATCATAGGTGTCTCTCCAAAAGAGTCCAGTTTTCTCATCAATGTTCTCCTTCTTCATCACTACAAGCGTGGTGCATACTATCCACGAGGGGGCGCTAGTGAGTTTGCTTTCAATATCATCCCTGTCATTCAGAGGTCAGGGGGAGCTGTGCTAGTCAGAGCCCCAGTGCAGGGCATCCTGATCAACAATCAGGGAAAGGCCTACGGTAAGTTTACTAATGAACTCTTTTCTACTATTTGATTTTTTGTGTCTCATTTATTTCACTTTCATTTAAATCAACTAATAGACGTTGTATGCCAAACATTATAGAATCTTCATTCTATAATACATTTATCATAACTTCCCATGTGGTCCTCATGGTTCATAAAATGTCTTCTGCTGCAGGAGTAACAGTGCTCAAAGGCAAAGAGGAGATAGAGGTCCATGCGCCTGTTGTCATTTCCAACGCAGGAATCTTCAACACGTTTCAGAAGTTTTTGCCCCAGCACATACAAGAGAAACCAGGCACACTATTCTGTTAATTTGTTAAATGTAATTAAGTTGAGTTAATATTGTTATGTATATGTAGAGATTCATTCATTGCTGGGAATGGTGCGACATGGAATGGGCTCCTTCTTGGTCTTTGTTGGTTTGGATGGAACAAAAGAAGAGTTGGGGATTGTGTCCACCAACTTTTGGATGTACAAAGACAACAATCTGGATGAACTGTGAGCTTGTATCTATTTAATCTATTTCTTTAAAGCTTTGATTTCCATCAACAAGATGTAGTGATTAAAGTGTCTTCATTGTACCTGTGTGTTGTTGTAAAATGTTTTGTGCTATTGTACTTTAGCCAATATGAGCTCAATGCTATGCAATTACATTGTCCATATCACTTGGTCTGCTGGTAATGGAAATTTTAATGCAGATTTGTTTTGAAAATATGCAGCCATGAATGGAATTTAAACACCTGTTATCTTAAAACAGGTTGAACATGTCTTTTTGGCACAATCTAGAAACACTTCTTTTACATGTTGAGTTCATGTTGGTTTCTCTGATATCGGCAGAATGGAACGATATTCCTCTCTTAGCGGGGAAGAGGTGCTGGGCAACATTCCGATGATGTTTATCACATTCCCTTCTGCCAAAGATCCCACAGCCAACATGAGACATCCAGGTACCCCCAGCAAACTGTTGAAGTCAAGGATCAACAGCCTTGATTTGTCTGTGTCTCATACAGGAAAGTCCTGCATGACGTTGTTGACCATGGCCCGCTATGAGTGGTTTGAAGAGTGGAAAGACACTAAGCTGGGTAAAAGAGGGCAGGACTATCAGGATCTGAAAAACAGCATGGCCCAGGAGCTGCTGGACTGGGCTTTAACTGTCTTTCCTCAGTTGAGAGACAAGGTGTGTGTTTGATTAAGCAGTGACCTATTATACTTGTATCTTTTAGTATTCAGTGGCAAAATAAATATAGTGCTCCTGATTTTGTAACATATTACAGGCTGATCGCAGGTGAAGTAAGATACATGTATATTTTAGTATATTATTTTGCATTTTTTGCATATTATTATTATTTTTTTCTTTTTGCCAACTTTAGTACTGATAATTTACATCAGTATTATAACATACAAGTCTCTAGCTGCTCAAAGTTATACAGCTTTCCAGAGCTTGAGCAACATGTAACCCTTTTATGCCAAATGTAAAGACGGAGGATCAAGTCTTGCAAGTTCATATATTTCCTCTTGCAGTAATTTGATCTCGCTAGATCTCGTGATCTCTTCCCATCCCTTTTATATGCCAGTGTAATGCTTCTTTCATGTAGGTGGTGATGGTTGACGCTGCTACCCCTCTCACTAATGTGCACTACCTGGGTGCACTGAGAGGCGAGATGTACGGAGCAGAGCACAACTTGGAGCGCTTCACACCGGACACTGTGGCCAGGACGCGGCCACAGACCCCAGTGGAGGGCCTCTACCTGACAGGTGAGCCCACAGCCTCAGAGAAGGGTCAATGGACTACTCTATGTGTAACACTCCACCTGTGTTTGCATTTAGGTCAGGATGTGTTCTGTAATGGCATGGCAGGAGCTCTTCATGGGGGACTGCTCTGTGCCTCAGCTGTACTTAACCAGATCCTCTACATTGATCTTTTGGCTCTGAAGACACGCCTCAAACAGAAGCAAACCCAATAGCACCATTGTGTAATACTTAAAGGCATATCATATTTGGTTTATATTTATGTGGTTCTATGATATGTGCTATTTATAGATTTTTCATATTTTGAATTCTATAGAAAGTGAAGTGATAGTGGTGTTTGAAAGCTGTCCTCCTCCAAGACTGCTGCATGTATTGGATGTCAGTTCAGGTGCTATAAAGAAATTGTAAACCTTTATACTATGGTCCCAGGTTAATGTGACAGGAGATGGTTATTCTGGTTTAAGGTTACTGAATCTGGATGGTTTGTGTTTAAAACATTTCTATTTGCCCTTGTGTTTAAAACATTTCTATTTGCCCTTTCTGGCACACATTTATATTAATATACTTAATAATAATAGTGTGACATTGCATAATTTATTTACTGAACAGTTAGAAGTTACATAGTGAAGAGTCACAGACCAATGTAATAATTGTATTTTCTTTTTATTCAAGGTTTTCAACTGTGGTATATGGAACACTTAGTAATATATATTTATATTTTCATCTTTATAAGTGATTAGGAGCTTCGTTTTCGCTGAGTTCGATCTTGATAGTGGCAGTGGGACAGTTGGACATGTTGGCCCTGATGGTCACAAGTTCACTGCTGTGGGTGAGACTGGACCCTTTGGCTTTCTCTCTGCTGAAGGCCAGATCAGTGTTTTTGGACATCCTCCGGAAAAGCTCTTTGTTGCACTCAGTGCTCTTGTCTACAACTCCTAGTGCATATGCATTATGTTTAATGCAGCGGTCAAAGGGCACTTTGTACATTACTGCCATTCTGCCCATGCACTTCTTGGTTGAGTTATTGTACAGGTCATAGGTGAACACTCCCACTGTTCCTCATGCTGTGTTTGGGGTCTTTGAGAAAAGACCATCTCCAGATGAAGATGCTTCAATAACAGATGGTAAAGGCTCAAAGCAGTTGCCACTCTCTGTATGCACTCTGCATGGGCAACAACAGCACACAAATACAGGTCATGTCTCTTAGATTACAGGGCCAAGATCGTGTCAATAAGAGAAACTCTTACCAGGGGTCACACAGGCTGTAACTGGAGCACTTATTCCTGACGGAGCATTTCCGATCTGTTAGTGTGGCTTTGCCAATAGATTTACCAAAGGTTAATCCCATATCCGTTGCATTATTGCCAATGTCAAATGCAGATTGGATTTTCTCAAACGCATCCATCATAGAGAGTGAGAAAGCTTTACCTGTTGCTCTCACTGTCGCACGCACAAATGTAGTGTGACTGCTGTGTACACACTTTTAAAACAGGCATGGAGGAAGTAATTGTCAAATTGTTATGTTTCTTATAGTATAGCTGAGAATCAGCAGTCGTGAGTCAGAGTAATTTCCAGAAGAGAAAGCTATCTGTCCTCTTCTGTCTTCTTTAATCATACAGGACAAGCAACATTTCTATAGTCATGTTACTGGTATGTGTAAACGTGGGCAGAGTAAGGACGCATGTTTTCTTTTTTCTTTAAAAATTGTTCAGTGCATTTAAAACCAATATTTCAGTCTATTTTTTTCTAAAATTTACATTATGTGGCTTAAATTTATAAATAAATACATCTAAACTAATACTTGATTCTGTCTTTACTATGTATATACTTTTTTCTCAGTATATATGTAATATTCCATTAAGGTTTGACAGGTCAAAATTCCTCATTGCATATTGTCACACTGATTTATCATAGATTATATTCTTAATGTTATTTTTTGCTTTATGCTGAACCATCTTGCCAAAGCAAGTTTGGGAATTTGGCTCACTGACAAAGGCAATAAAACTTTCTGATTCATACCATACGCTCTGCCTCTAATATTGGCACTAATGACAAGCATACTTGATATACACACATGATTTTATTTTAGAAGTAAATACTGAATCAAACATGTTCTAGAAATGAATATATTATACCAAGGAATAGACATGATTCTATCCAGAAAAACAATGTTGGTCAAGAGTCGCTGACATGTATTCTCATGACTGCAGAGCAGCTGGTGGACATGGCTGCTCGGACAGTCACAGTGTCTCCCTTGTGAGTGAGACTGCCGCTTTTAGCTTTGCCTTTGACAAAGCTTGGATCAGTGCTTCGGGACATCTTACGAAACAGCTCCTTGTTGCATGGAGTATCAGTGTCAAAAAACCCTATTGCATATTCGATTCTCTGCATATTGAGGTCAAAGGGCACCTTGTACATGACTGCGATTTTGCCAGTGCAGCTCCGTGTGCAATTGTTGAGGAGGTCGTATGTGAAAACTCCCACTGCTCCACGCGCCACCACCGGAGCTTTTGTGAACCTCGCCTCTCCGGATGTCATTGACTCGATCATGGGGGGCAACGGAACAGAGCAGAGCCCACTCCTGGTGTAGAAGCTGCAAGATTATTTTGGGGTCAACCTTTTAACAAACATTTGTATTTACCACATCTAATATATCAAAACAAGCCCAAAATATGAACAGGTAAAATCATGAAAGTATACCTAATAACTACATAAATTAAATGTAGATTACTAACATTCATAAACATAGTACATTTTGCAGTTTAGCAATAGAAAGGTTACCTGGGATTGCAAAGAGAGTATTTAGAAGACTTATTGCATATTTCCACAGAGCACTCTCTTTTTATAGGAGATGCTTCAGCTGCGGCACCCCCAATTGTGCCCGCTGCACCGATGGAACTGGCTGTGATCTCCACGATGGCAGAAGCTAACTCCATCTTGACAACACAACAAGAGACATGCATCTGCACTGGAACTCAACTTCAGCATTCTTTTGTAGCATATAAGGAAGTTTGTTACATCACAAACAATAAAAATTTTTATGCAATTATCATTCAGTAATTTGCATAAACTTGGGATCTTTTTGTGGTAAAAATTAGTTTTCCCCCCAAATTCTGATTTTGAATAAGGGATTATGGGAGTAGTTATCAAATCACTTTATCTGTTCATTTTTCTTCCAAGGGCTTGTACTTGATTTTGAAACATGTGTCAGAAACATGTGTTAGATTGAACCATTAGCCCCACCCACTAGTACATTTTGGTGTTCTGATATTGCACAATGACACAGAAACAAATGTCTGTAATGTCTTATGTGGTTATTAATTTATAGTTGTCCAATATCTACTAACTTTTTATTCTGGGATTTTATTATCTGGGATTCCAAAATAGATTACCTTATCAGTATATCTTTTGTATTAGCTGGCTGCTCAAAAAACTTAAAGGAACACTTTGAAAACACTTCAGATATGAAAAAATGTATATATCCTGCATCTAAAATAAATACAAATATAGACAGGGCAAAATTTAATTTCTGCAACTCAAAGTGCTTCTCAATATCTTGTGTGGCCCCCACGTACTTGTTTCACTATGTCATGGCATGCTCCTAACGAGACGATGGATGGTGTCTTGTGAGATATCCTCCCAGATCTGTGTAAGGGCATCACTGAGCTCCTGTAGAATCTGAGGAGCAACCTGATGGCATCTGATGGATCCAAACATAATATCCCAAAGGTGTGCTATTTGCTTTAAGTCAGGTGATCTTTAGGGCCATTTAATTGTATCAATCCCTTCATCCTCCAGTTACTGCCTGCATACTCTTGCCACATGATGCCAAGCATTGTCGTGGATCAGGAGGAACCCAGGCCCTACTGTGCCAGCATAGGGTCTGACAATAGGTTCAAGGTTTTCATCCTGATAAGTAATGGCAGTCAGACTGTTGTTTTCTAGCTGTAGAGGTCCATGTGTCCCTCCATGGATATGCCTCACTGACTCATTACCATCACTGACCCACTACCAAACCACTCATGCTGAACGATGCAGCATATTATCCTTCTTGTCTTCACCAAACTCTTTCATCTGTGAAAAGCACAGGGCACCAGTGGCGGACTTGCCAATTCTAGTGTCGTCCAACAAATATCAATGGAGCCCCTTGGTGCTGGGCAGTGAGCACAGGGCCCATTACAGGACGTGGTGCCCTCAAGCCACCCTCATGAAGTCTGTTTTTGATTGTTTGCGCAGAGACATTGTGTAATAACCAACTTTTTTTCACATAGAGATCAGATGTGTTAAATACAATTAAATCAGGTTTGTGGAGTTGCAAGCCTGCAGAGTATGGACACATGTTTTGTTTGTTTGTTTTTGCTGAGGAGGTCCTGTGTGAAGACTTTTCACTGTTCCAAGCACCACCACCAGAGCTTTTGTGAACACTGCCTCTCCGGATCTCATTGACTCAATCATGAGGGCCAGCGAGCAGATCAACATTTCAAAACAGGCCCAAAATATGAACAAGTGAAATATTGAGAGTAGACTTAATAACTACTAAAATTAAATGTAGATCATTAATATTCATAATAAAAATAAATAAACAGAGTACATTTCCAGTTTAGCAATAGATAAGCTACCCGAGATTGCAAAGAGTATATTCAGAAGACTTATTGCATAGTTCCACATGGCACTCTCTGTGTGAAGGAGATGTGTTGATCACAGCCTCTCCAACTGTGGCTGATGCCCCAATGGCATCGGCTACAATCCCCATGATGTCAGAGGATAAATCCATCCCGATGGCCCGACAGGAGACTCACACAGAACTGCAAAGAACCTGCACCTCGGCATTCTTATGCTGCAGATCTCAATTAGGACTTACTTTAAATTTGTTACATCACTCAGCTATTTTAATTTCACTGCGAACAGTTATCATTTCACCATTAAATGTTTTTTGAATGTTTCACAGTATGGTATTTATTGGTATATTGGTAATTAACAAAACCAGTGCTTTTATTTCAGTCTGTTTTTTGGCTAAATGTTACATTCTGTGACTTTAAAATGATGCATAAATACATTTAAACTAATACTTGAATCTGTCTATCTATCTATAAACTTCTATCCTATAACTGTCTATCTATCTAAAAGGTTTATGGGCCTTTGCTGGAGGATACACTGGCACACCCAGTTTTATCTTGTCAACAGATTTACTGGAAACAATTATGTTTATTAGTGA